ATTTAGCTACGCAGCAGCGATTCGCTACTGGTGGTGACTTGAGCACAGTTCAGCGTCAGAGTGGCAGTGGTTTCATTAGCTGGCTCGGTAATCTGATCGGACTCGGACCTGGTGAGTTGCAGAAGCACATGTCCCAACCTGCAAAGCGTGAGCTGTCGATGCAACGTGGTGGATTTCCCTGGGCTCTAGCTGGACTCTCTCTGCTACCGATGCTGCTGGGAAAAGGTAAAGATGGTGGTGGTGGTGGTGGTGGCAACATCATCGAGAGACAGATGAAGTCGATGCGTGATCCCATCATGCAACGTGGTGGCCTGTCCATACCCCCTGGTCTCTTGGCCAAGGGTCTGCCACTGTTGAAATCCATGGGCATCCCATTGGCCATGGGTGCACTTGCTTCTGTGGGTGATAACGTGGTGGATAAGGTCTTTGGTGATGGAAAGGCAAAGCAGAAGAAAGCACGCACGCATCATACTATGCGAAAAGGCAATCGGAAGACATCTCGCAACTCATCGCGAGTCTCAGGGAGAAGAGCCCACCCCACAGTGCGAGGTGCGACACGTGGGAAAAGAACAACAACAACAACAAGGTCTAGGAAGAAGAAGAGTACAGCGAACCTGGTGGGCGAGCAACTTCAATCCACCGGAAGACGCTTGTTTCAAAAAATCAAGTCGAAAGCCAAATCCAGAGTGAAATCCAACATCCATGCAAGACTGTCGAGGAAATCATCTCCGAGACGACGCTCCACCACCACCACTAATACTCACAGCTCACCATTCGCACTCAAGATCAGAGAGAATCTGAACAGAGCAAGCAGCGGCAGCAACAGCAGCAGCACCAGCAACTCAGCACACATTGCACCCACATTCAACATTTGATCACATATTTCCCCTCCTAGAAGTAGTAAGCAATGGACTTCACTTCACTGTTCGCACCTAGTCGAGGGGCTGTAACATCTACAGCGACGAGGCATCATGCTACCCACCACCACCATCGTCATCACTCTCCTCCTCCCCCTCCTGCTCCACCCGTAATCCAACCGGTGAGGGTACATCGAGATTCGCACGCACCACCACCCATATCCGGATTGGAGTACAAACGAAAGGGGTGGTTCGAAGAAATCCTACCCGCTCTCCGCGGGTGGGGTCAGAATGTGTTGTTCCTGGGTCAGAGCAACATGGGCAAGACATACTTCCTGAAAAAGCTTCTGAACAAAGTTCAACCGGAGCGACTGGTGATCATCAGCAACACACCTGCAGAGCAGTATCGTCTGGAGGGAGTGAAGAGCTTCAAGCACTACAGCACCCTCCCGGAGAACATTGAGGAAATGAATATCGAGCCACACACGTATGTGATCATTGATGATATTCGCGTCATGTCACTCAAGCACGGTGATCAGCGCGAGTGTCTCTACAAGTTCTTCACCATGTACAGTCATCACTACAAGCTGAACGTATTCTTCCTGTCGCAGAGCTTTGATAATATCAAGGATATGAAGATCAATGCCAACTTTCTCTATCTATTTCGCTTCACCGACAAGAGCAACATCAAGCGCTACCTGAACACTCTGTTTGGTGGGCAGTGCATCAAGTCCGGTCTCGTGTTTAGACTGTATGAAAAGCTTCTCACTGCATGCCAACGTCCTATACTAGCCATTCACTGCTCACGCAACGAGTATTCCACCTATTGCAATGATGATACATACAAGGTTGTGTTTGAATAGTAGATTCTCTGAAGTCATACGTGTGTGTGTGTGTGTGTGTGTGTGTGTGTGTGCGTGTGTGTGTGTGTGTGTGTGTGTGTGTGTGTGTGTGTGTGTGTGTGTGTGTGTGTGTGTGTGTGTGTGTGTGTGTGTGTGTGTGTGTGTGTGTGTGATAGCTAGCCTTGCTGATTGATGAATTTTCTACATCTGCGATTGTGTAAAATACACCTTCCCAACCCCCCCTCCACCCCCCCCCCCCCATTCTGATCAAATGTGGTGTGTGTGTGTGTGTGTGTGTGTGTGTGTGTGTGTGTTTGTTTACCCCGCATGTGAAATGCAAGGGTGATTTTGGAGACGTGTGTGTGTGTGTGTATGTGTGTGAATAGAGTGGTGGTGACCAAAGCAGTGGGTATTGATTTTTTTTTTTTTTTTTTTTTTTTTTTTTGGAATAATAAATAAATTCTCCTTCTAGTTAGGGTAATCATCATGGAGCGCCTCACGGTTCGATTCACTAAGGGCCTCCCGAAGAGTATCACCCGTACTGGAGGATCTGATGAGAGTGCTTTCATGATCCCGAAAACGAAACGATTGAAGACCCTTGAATACATGCAACGACACTCGCAGTACATTGTCAAAAGAAGAAAATCATCATGGGATGTTGTGGGTACACTACCAGCAGCAGCATCAACCAGACATCGTCGCGATGTGTTCGAGGGTCGTGGTGGTGGTGGTGGCGGTAGCTATGGTAACTTTTTGAGAAATGCCAAGAAGGCACTGGAGTACATACCGGATCACACGTTGGGTAGACTATCACGCGGGGAGCTTCAAAAGCATCCACGCATCAAGAGCCTGTATGAGCGTCACTTCAAGAACAACCCCGACCTCATCAGCTATGATTCCGTTCTGAATGTGATTGCGTCTGATCTTCTCAACTACGATGCAAGCACTGGGGCGGTTCGAGAGTCCATCGCCGATGTGAGGTTGAAGAAGAAGATGCCTACCTCTACTCTCTCGTTAAGCATCACCAAGGACTCCGACTTTGATCGCATCCTTCTACAGAGTCTCTCAGATGAACTAGCACGGCGAAACATTCCCATGGTGTTTGTGAAAAGCAGCTACTTCACCGCTCTTGCGCAACTGCAGCAGCTTTTCCAAGACAACCCAGCCACGTTTGCAGGTGCTTTGGAGTCTGCACGACCACGCGTGGAGGCTGTGATCTGGAGAGATTACATGACGCTGGTGAACGAAACGAATCGCATCTATTTGTCAAAGTACCCTTTCGAGAGGATTGCCATGCGTGATATCGGCCTCTCTCCACTCATGCCCGGCTTCTCCAGCTTCAAACCCAAGCTGCAGACCATCGTTCAACTATCTCTCGCAACCCCTGGATCTGCAGGCCACAAGTTCAAAGGATTGGAAGAAATGTGGCAGACGTATGCCGCCACCCTGGAAGCACAGCTTATGAATCCGGACCACTTCATGCACGGTCTGCACAAGGTGTTGACTAACGATACAGATTTTGTGATCTCAGTCTTGAAAAACAGTAGCCGCTCCCTGGCTAAAGTCTCCAATATACTCAAAGGAAATTCCTTGTAATAGCAATACACGACACCTCGTGGAATGGACGTACCGCTGAGCAATGTGCACATCGAGGATTGCCTGCGAGATGTGAGTGGCTTTCGAGGAGTGTCCAGCTACGATCTTCTCCCTCACGCTCTCCAGGATGGAGAGTTTTGCATTGTCAACACGGACAACGTTCTACCCCTGTATGACCCACCTCAGGGTGGACACCACTGGTTGACAGTATGCCGAGAGCGAGATCGCGTGCTCGTGTTTGACAGTTTTGGACGCACGCTGAAGAGAATGGAACGAGACTATCACGAGCCTGGTTTGGAGCGCTACTTCACAGAGGGTTTCACCGACTGCTCACTCTACACAAACACCCAGGTGCTGCAGAATCCTGCGACAGCGGTGTGTGGACACTATGCGATCCTGGTCGGGCGGCTCTTTTCCCAGTTCAGTAGCGTCGACGAAACCCTGCATGCACTGTCAAACCTGTTCAGCACTGACACCACTCAGAACGATCGACTGGTGCTGAGCATGACTGCTGGTGGTGGTGGTGGTGGCGGTGACGCTGGTGGTGAAGCGCTTGGTGGAGATAAAAATAGCACCAGCAAGGACACAGATGACAGCTGGATGGAGCGTTTGGCACACGATCTGCACAGACCACGTCGCATACGCTTTCCACGCAGAGCAGTTGTTGTACAGGATCTGGATGGAATTTGGAGTGCAGATCTAGTTGACATGCAAGCATTTGCCAAGTACAACAAGGGTGTTCGGCACCTGCTCACGGTCATCGATCTCTTCAGCAGATATGCGTGGGTGATGCCTCTGGAGCGGAAAACTGGGGCGAGTGTTAGAGATGCATTTCAAAGGATCATCGTACAAAGTGGACGTTCACCTCGAAAACTGTGGGTGGATGAAGGCACAGAGTTTTACAATGCAACATTCAAACGCTGGCTGTCCGACAACGACATTCACATGTACAGCACCCACAACGAAGGCAAGGCAGTCGTTGTGGAACGCTTCAACAGAACACTCAAATCACGCATGTGGCGCTACTTTACGGCTAAATCAACCAATGTGTATGTGGATGTGCTACCGCAACTGGTACGCAACTACAACGACAGCAAGCACCGCAGCATCAAGATGACTCCCACTGAAGCCTCCCAAGAACCGAATGCACCCTTCGTTCAGGATCATCTTGAATCATCCAAAAGATCACATGCAAAACCCCGCTACAGCACAGGTGATGAGGTTAGAATCACAGTCAGCAAGCGACACTTTGAAAAGGGGTACACACCCAATTGGACTGAAGAGGTGTTCATCATTGATCGTGTGCTAACAACACAGCCCGTCACCTATCGCATACGAGACCTCATGAATGAACCCATCATAGGCAGCTTCTACGAGCAGCAGTTGCAGAAGACCACACAAACCCGATTTCGGGTAGAGAAAGTGCTTCGCAAGAGAAACGGTAAATCCCTCGTCAAGTGGAAAGGCTATCCGGATAAGTTCAACACATGGATCAGCACCAATCAATGGGAAAAACTCTAAAGAAAACTACTTGCTGATTATTCGCTATTGCTGAAAAAGCATGATGAAGTTCTAACAAATAATTCATTGGATATTCTAACATGGAGATTCATTGCATCATCATCATCACTATCTCAATATGTATGGCTATAGCTGTATGAAAATCTAGTCAAAATCTCAATGCACAATGCTGGTAGTTTATTGTTTACTGTTGCGCGTGCGAGGGTGCAATACGGTGATGACCGTACGCCAGCGTGGACACACCATCGGCAAGAATGTATCTTTTGCTATCGAATGGCGAGAGTGAGGTCTTCGTAACTGTTTCAGTGAAGATGTGATGATCGTGGCTTCTCAGCGCAGTCATCGGGTGAGCAGAGGTGCGTCTTTCGGTTAGACAGCGCTCGTAGTCGCGGATGGTGAACTTCTTCGTCACGCTTCTTTTGACGCCTTTGGCCCGCTGTCCGCTTTCCTCACCGTCGTACGAGTACATCTTGGAGCGTAGAGCTATGAATTCACTCATCATTTTTCCACCTAGCTCATCTTTAAATTTACCTACTTTTTTCTTATTCACCTGGCTGTATAGCGGGTGGTCTGTGGCGTAGTTGCTGGTGTCGTACGCATCCAAGTCGCTCATCATGTCCGCGCACAAGTCATCCGTTTCTAACTGGAGGATGAGGGAGTCCGTATCAGTGTACAGCAGTCGCACACGCTCGGCGTAGCGAGACTTGAGGTTGTGATAGTAGTAGCGATACATCAACTCCTTGCTGAGATCTAGTACACTCATTCCGATGTACACGGGCTTATTGAGGGAGACGCGGATTTTTCGGTTTTCAACGCCGACGAGGTCATTGTCAAACATGACGTGTCTGACATACGTCGGCTTGGCTACGGCTGTGAGGATCCTGTCCTCATCATCGTCTGCTCGCAGCAAGCGGATGTTTACTCTCCTTCGCACATTCTCCATCGTTTTGCCAAATACGGCATTGTTCATCAACTTGAAATAGTCTCTTTCAAACTCGTTGACAGCTTGTTTGCGGAGCTCCGTGTTCAGCTCGATGTATGGCTTCATCCAAGCTTCCTGTCTGAAGCGTAGTACACGGTGCACACAGTCGATGGCTAGCCCGAGTTTGGAATACAGCTGCAGGTTGCGATAGTGGAGCACATACCGTTGCTTGCGCATGAGGTGAGGGACCAGTTTAGGTGAGGACAGTCCGGTGATTGACATACTCTTCATCAGCTCGCGTTGGTATGGGGAGAGCATCTCTTCGCTGATGGTCATCTTCTCCGGTGCCGGTGGGTAATCGTTCAGCAGGTCGTGCAAGTGATCTGGTACGGTGAGATCGCATTCAACCATGTAGCCTAGCGAGGCATCGTCCGCTTGAGTGAGGATGCTATCCAGGAGCTCGCTTGTCGGTGGACACCACTCAAAGTCCGATACTGGCAGATGTTGTGACATCGCCCAACCATAAAGATTATTGGCATCTAAATACTGGAGATAGGTGGATGGCTTGCTCTCATCATAACTCTGCATGCGTCTGTTGCATGTGGGAGTATAAATACACATGCGCGCGCACACGCACACATACACATACAGACAGATAGACACATAATGATTTTACACACAGTGTAGAAGAATAACTCAACTGACTACACACACACATACTTTACAAAAACACATACTTTACAAAAACACATACTAGTACTCAAAGGTTGTAAGGATGGATTTCATGCATTCACACACACACACACACACACACACACACACACACACACACACACACACACACACACACACACACACACACACACACACACACACACACACACACACACACACACACACACACACATACATGCACATACCTGTTGTTTGCCTTGCCATGACGATGTGAAGCCATGGACACCCCACCACGGAGACCACGCTCGATGAATAGGTGCATATCCACATCACTCAGAAGAGAGAGGGTTACCTTGGTGTACTTGAGTGGGGCATCCCAGGCGAGTCCGGGGAGAGTATAGTAATGTGCCGGATCGAGTTCGTAAGTGTTCATGGCTGTGACTCGGAATGTCTCAAAGACGTCAGCCAGAAGATTTACATCAGTATTGAGGTATAGATCATGGTAGTCTCCCATGTTTCTGCACTTGAACGCAGACCAGACGCGTTGAGCATGCTCATAGTCATCATCGCTGATGTGGCTTTCCGTCAATGAAGAGAAGAACTCGTCTTTGGGTGGTAGTGATGTCTCATCAAACACCGCTGTACTGGTTACATATTCATACGGGTAGACTCCTTTGCGAGTAAGCAGCTCAAACAGATCATCAGCTGAAGTATCATCATGGTAAATGTTGGTGGTAGATGAATCGTCGCTGCTACTGCTGCTGCTGCTGTCATCCATACCGTTGATGTTGGTGTGGGTGAGTCTAGAGAATGAGCTCAGATGGTGAAATGAGTCTTTCGGTGTGTTCTTTACCAGCCTGTCCAGCGAAGCATTCAAGAATGATAGGCTATCCACAAAGCGGAATCGCCCCCAGCTGAAGGAGATGTAACGCTCCATGTTGTTAGGAATGATCTTGATCTCACCGGATTTCTTGGTCTTCTTTCTCCCGCCGCTCATGTAGGTCGTGCTCTCCGATGAGGTGGCGCCAATGGCTGAAATGAGTGGGTGGGCGTCGTAACCTTTCAGATTGTGGAAAACTACTGGGATTGGGTGAGTCTCTGGTGTAATCCGCAGGTTGATGTTGCACTTGCTGTGAGCTGCACCGCGGTATTTACCCGTGATGTGGTCGTGGTCTCGCACTCGATCATCACCCAGCTCATCGCTGCAAATCCAGCACTCATTCGCATTTTCAAACTGTTGCTGTTCCTCCGCTGACATGTTCATGGGTCGTATGTGCTGCAGGTCATTGGTGATTCTTTCATCTTCTCCCGCGAGCTCCTCGAAAAACGATTCAATCGGGTTTTCTCCTGCATAACAATCGTGCACACGCAAACACAAATAGAAATAAGATACATGTCTATACATATAGATCAAATGTCTATACATATATGAAGATAGACTGTTGAAATGCGGCAAGTCAATTCATACGTAACTAGTAGTAACAGTATGATGGTTTACTTCTACAACGTATAGAGACTGAACGCTGGCATGCATGAAAAACAATAAAGAGCAGCATTTGTATCTGTGCAGTGTGAACTCACCTCTGTAAAGAAATCGCCTCGTCACCTCTCCATCTGACCGCACTACGATGTAAGCAATGCCACAGGGTTCATGCTCTGCATTCCGAACAGTGTTGGCTCCATGCTGCCCTGAGCTGGGTGCGAGAACACTCTCAGTATCAGCGTAGATGATATATGGCATCTTCATTCTCCGCTTGTTCTCCGTGAAAGTGAGCGTCTCACCGGGTTCTGGTAGCTTGATCACAGCAGGCTTCGCGTCGGCGCAGTACAGTTGGTGTCTGGCGAGAGTCTGCGGAGATCGGTGTCCGGATAAACACCTCATGCAAAAGTAGGTCCTAGTCTTGCACTTGTTCAGATGATAGCATAGCGCATCAAAATCTTTGATCCAGCAGAAATGGCTTGTCAACTCTTCATGTAGGAGCAGGAGGTTGATGGCACCGGCATCGTTTTCATGGTCCGTCAACTTCAATGGGAAGAGATAGCCACCTTCGAATCCAAACACATTGATAACTAGATTGTTCGCAGTCTCCACCTAACAAAACACACACGCACACACACACGCACACACACGCACACACACCCACACACACACACATACACACACACACACACACACACACACAGAAACAGCACCTCAATGTGGTTGATGTACATAAATCATGCTACACACCTAGCACACATACACTAGCACATTGATCGATGTATGGTTAGAAAGATTACAATTGCTCATTCTTCATCCAAGCTCACCTTATACACATCCGCAAGAGTTGCAGGAAAGTCCACATCATCAAAGTTCAGGGTTTGTGCGTACGACTGGTACTTCGTAACCCGTTGAGCATTCTTCTCAGCTGGGTGTAGTGCGGATAGAAGTGCCCATTTCAGACACTGATCATCGGTATTACGAACGTTGATCACCCCCTTCGTTTTGGAGATCTTCTGCGGTAGAGGTAGATAAGATGAGCCGTGCATGGGGAGATACTTGGCAATGTCAATGTGCACGCTTCGCACCCGAACCACAGTCCAACCGGAGCCAGCCTGGAGCCACCCATCAACCTTGGATATGATCTTGCCGAAGGCGTTGGATAGTTGGTCATCAATGCCATGTGGATTGAGAATGGATATGGGGGAACTGCGGAAAAATGGCGATGCTGACACAGTAGCTCCGGATGCATCGCTTCTCTCCATCATGATGCAGGTCACGAGAACGGTTTTAAATTGCTGCACCTCCAACTCCCTCAGCAAAACACTTCGCATATTTTGTGCAAGTCCATTGAGCACTGTGAGTACATCTCTGTGATGCTCGTCTAGATCCGCTCGGTACTCTTTTAGGAAACCACGCGGTACGGTACGCTTTAACTCAAAGACACTCTCCACGCTCAATCTCGATTGCTTTGGTGAGGGTGCACCCTCACCAGAAGAAGAACTAACACGCTTCATCGCACCTCTATACAATTATGAAGATATCTAATGCACCCCCATTGTTTTTATGCATGTAGATGTAGTTGAGAGATGGTGCGTGTTTTTATTTTTATGGATAATAGTATGGATGTGTTAGTTGGATATACTTCAATACGCTCACATCTGACACCGGTAAGCACACTCGAGGCATGTCACTGGCTTATTCATATGACGATGTCATAATTGGAGACATTGCATCACACACACATGTGAATCTAGACAATCTCAAAGACATTGCTCACATCTGCAAGCAGAACCAGGGTATACTGTGACATTATCACCATGTGCTGTTATCTGTAGAGACTTTGCTATGCAAGTAATTAGTTGGAGCAATTTCAAAGATTCCGCTCGCGTATACCTCTTGATGTGCATCAAGGATGCAACTCCATAATTGCAAACATTGCATCACACGGTCTTCTCAGGAGACTTTGCATGGAACAATCGGGCGGTAGATCTCAAAGACATCCGCGGACTGCAAACAGACTAGGAGCATATTGAGCATATCCCATTAGTTGGAGCAATCTCAAATATTCCATTCGCATACACCTCTTCATGTGCATCAAGGATGCAACTCTATAATTGCAAACATTGCATCACAAATGGAGGTTAATCTCAAAGACGTCGTCCACATCTCCAAGTGGGTGTCTCTAGAGACTTTGCTGTGCAATCTCACAGATCCTACATGCATATACTTCGAGGTATACTGAATTTGCTTGCATGTATTCATAGGTCCTCTCAGGAGACTTTGCATGGGGCAATCGGGTGGTAGATGTCAAAGACAGCCGCGGACTGCAAAACAGACTAGGAGCATATTGAATTTGTTTATCTATGTTGGTAGGTATGTGGGTAAACAAGTCTCGGCACTAGCTGCGCAGCTGCCTGTTCACAGTATACAATTATAATGCATTTGTATTCTATTAGGGCTAGTCAGTTGCAGAGTATAAATAGCTATGATCTGCCCACCCTCAGTATCAGTTTTTAGAAGCAATTACTAGTAGCCCCCTCTCTCTCTCTCCAGTGTTTTTTCAAAACCTTCAAACATGCTTTCAAGAACCTCTATGGAGTTTGTAGTGGATGGTGTTTCTAAGGGTCTTCAGACCAGGCATAAGTCGAAGGGGAAGAAATACCCCGAACTTGCTGCTGGGTGGTCCTTTCATTATACGGAAGGCCCCATATCTGCTATAAAGGTGAAGGGAGTTGCTCGCAAGGGCAAATATGGCCAGGTAGTTGTAGAACTGGCTAAGGAGCTCCGGTGTGTTGTTGAGGGGCTGTTACGAGTGTCACCATCCATACGGAGGGCGCTCCAATCTGAGAGGGTACACAGAGTGGCCACTAATTTCTACCCAACAAAGATCAGTAGTGGAGATGGAACAACAACCCACGGCTGTGACGTGTATGTGAAGGGGACATCTACAACACCTATCGAAGCGTTGAAGATGCGAACAATGGATGAGTTTTATGTCTACCCTTCGACTATCGCCTGGAAAAAGGAGACTCGTACGTACAAGTGTACCCTGGGGGTTATCCCATGTCGTCACGTCGGAGAGTGCAGAACAACCCAGCGAACATGCAAGGAGAGGGAAGAGAACATCCTGGTCATTCCATGCGATACACTGGAGCAACTATTGAAAGTGTTTGAGGAGCGATGGACGTCCGCATCCACTGGACAAGAGGATGAGGAGGAGGAGGATGATGATGATGAGTTATTCGCTTGAATGAATAATGGTAAGAAGCAATGTGTGTTTTTAAACACAATATTTGCATAACCCACACACGAGACATGCAAACACTGTACTCACACATGCATACACTTACAAACATATTACTTCTCTGTGGAATTTATTCTTTATTCTGTTTTTTAGTAGTGTAAGATGAAAAGATGTATTTAGAAGAAAGACTTAGACTGTGTGTGTAATATTTGTATGAAAGAACTCCAAGTAGATGCTGACTAAAATCACCGCTCATTATCTGATAGAATTCTACATTTGTAGTTGACGCTCTTTACTGCAATAATTCTTCCTGAGCGTAGGAAATAGCGACTTCGCTTTCTGATCTTTGTCACTCTCACCATCATGGCATCGTTTTGAAATGCGATGTCTTCAAAGGTCACCGTCTCGTTGTTTTTAATGCGGATAACGTCTTCCACCACCACCGCTTCCCCGTGCTGCTGCTGCTGCTGGTTTGAATTATCCATCTGAAATTTAGAATGCAAAAAAAAATGTACAATAATTAACTTTACCCTACTCTACTCTGCTCACAATGCAAAATAAATAACATACCTTTCTTCTTCTTTCAACACGCTCGTCCTTCTCTTCTTCTTTCAATACACTCGTCCTTCTCTTCTTCTTCTTCTCTTATCAATGTAAATAAGTACTGGTCCGAGAATCCTACTTGTGTAGATTGAGTGTGGTGTGTGCTAGAACATTCGAGTGGCTTTGTCGTTTCATGCGGAGGTGGCTTCCAATGCCGGTCGCCAAGCTAGCTCCAACCTGTCATCGTTTAGGTAGTGATAGTGTGTGCTAGCATACAGAACATTCGAGCGGGTTTGCTGTTTCATGTGGAAATGGTTTTGTCATGGCTTCCATTATATCATGGTTAGTTCCAATAGTGTCAGCATGCACAACCATGATTAATACTCGGACTGGGGTAGTGATAGTGTGTATGTGCTAGCATTATAGAACATTCGAGTGGCTTTGCTCTTTCATGCGTGAGCGGATAGCACCTCCTGTCATCACTGGCCATGTCAGCATGCACAACCATTGTACTAGAATCTCCTGTTTCCATCACCGACAACATCTCAGTGACAGATGATAGATTGATGCAGCGCTGTCAGCATGTACATGCTCCATGTAGTGGTGGTATCTAGAGCTTTAGTACTAGTGAGCACGCTGGGGTTATGAGCCTCGAGGATCTACTAAGTACGTGACATTGATAGATTGATGCAGCACTGTCAGCATGTACATGTACATACTCCATGCAGTGGTGGTTTCTGGAGAGTAAGCACACTGGGTAGCTTACATAGATGTACATGACTGTACATGTATATACCAGCAAAAATTCAGCATACGTAGAGCCTGCTTGCAGATGTAAGCAAAGATATGCAAGTGTTTAACGCGAGTGTTACATGAAAACGAAGGTTCATCATATTCTAATGACGTGTATCGCAAAACTGAGTTCTCACAACACCCCACATGCATATTCATCACAAAAAATAGTTTAATCATGACAGTTCCGGTAAGCACGTGATTCAAACACGTTAACACGTCAAAATATTGCAATGTCGAAATAACCTGTCAATTTCTGACAGGCTCACGTCAAAAAGTGACAGGGTCACGTCAAAAAGTGACAGGGTCATGTCATCACATCGAAAGGTCACTTCCGGGTTCAACTTTGTGCTAGAACCCCCCTCGTACCTTCTACTAACATGATCAGTCATCAGACTCATGTCGCCGTCGTGTTACGTAGAATCTACGTGTAGACAGTCTGAGTACTGAATACTGAATAGCCTACTTTTGTAGTCTTTTTTAGCTGCCTTGCTTTTCTCCGCGCTGCATGCATCGATTCGTCATTCTCTGAGTCTGAGCGACTCGAACTTCTGCTTCCAGGCCACGCTCTACTACACTCTAGAGGCCTCGCGGCTCTCTCTTCGCCGAATAGCAGCTGCTGGGGCATTGGCACGTCTGTGGGTCTCGGCTACCATTGCCCATCGACACGGCCGTAGGAAAGTAAACTCGATCATGAGTTTGTGTGACAGCACTACAGATTTTTTAGTTGAAATAGTGAAAAGTGTCCAGAGGGAACATAATTTCGTTTCCATTATTCCGCATTTTCCGCAATTTGCACAGAACAGGCGCTCGGGCGTCTACAAGAATCTCTGGTCTACTGTAACTATTCGGCTGTTCTGTGGATTGTCTGTACGTGCCGATGCGCACAAGGCGAAATAACGAACTATTATTACCAGGCGGATTTGTGCTCTCTAGTCCTCCGCTCGACGACCTCTTGCACAAAGGAATCACTCACGTTGCGCAGGCCAGAGCCCTGAACAGTTCCACTATACTCGTACAGGTTCGAAACGTTCTTACCTCGCCTAGCTATGGCCGATCCTAGCAGCGACGCCAGAAAGCTCTCCGTGCCTAGTAGCGGAGAAGCTCAACGAACTCCTTCGCCAGGCACAGTACACAGGAATCAACCAGCTCTGGGCGCGTCCGCCGTGGAAGTGCTTGTCTCGTCTCCCCCAACAGTGTCCCAGACGGACCATTCAAGTGCGAGAGCAGCGAAGGCCAGCTCCTCCAGTCCGTTTTACGCTGCGCGACCAGTCGTGGCAAGCTCAATTCCAGGGACATCCACCCACTCTGCTAGCACTACTAGTAGCACCAGTATGCGCCAGAGTGATGGACTGATGTGGACACTCTAGCATTTCTGCCGTCTGTCTTCTGCTAATCATTGCATGCCCTCTATCTTCTTCTTATTATTAGTCCGCGGTATTGCTATAATATCTTTACCCAGCTGCTTAGGCCGCCGCTCCGGGTACCTGCTGTCTAGCGACCTGGACTTGCTTTGCTATGTGCACGATGTTGGGTTCTTAGTGGTGGAGCTAGTAAGGTACTGTTTATTTTGTTTTATTTCGATCTGGTCACGTTGTCTCATATCGAGGAAGAGGAGAATGTTACGGAGGTAGCCTCAATTGTCGATGTATTATTCGTTCTCGTTCTGCTTCTTTGAATGTTACTGAACAGTTTTCCTCTCCACGCGTGCACGCTCTGCTACATCATTACCGATACGAACCACGTCTGGCGCCTTGTTTCTACGCTAACACTTAGCACTGTATTCGTCAACACGCACTATTCTTATCTACATGTACGTGCAGAGTGTTGGTGTAGAGGCAAGGACAAAGGTGTAAGATGTGGCCGTCGCTGTTGCTGATTGGAAACTGCGTTGCGTTGCTGCTATATAGTTCATTGGAGCGAAGACGTGGTTGT